TTGACTAAATAGTTATTAGACTGAAATCATAAATTTGAAATGTTTTTGTACCAGAAGTTCAACAGAAACTGTTTCATCATTTTTTCGTAAAAAAAATGATTGATTTAAAAAAAAATTCCAAATTTATCATTTCAGTCAAATAACTATCTATACAGGGTTGTTCACCACATACGATACTGAGTATTGTATCTAAACGATTAGATTTTTACAAATTGTCAGTTTTGGGTTCGTTGAAGGACTATTAGAGCTACAATTTAAAAATAATTTTACAAGATACAGAGTGTCCCAAATAAGTAAAAAATAGTATAGTTGTATTTTTTTAATGGAACACCCTGTATATTATTCTATTTTTGGATTCTACGATTGAAATAAAGGTAAATTTGATTAAGGTTTATCACACTTAAACCTTCCCGTTTTTGAAATATTTTCAATTTTATGAAATTGCACTAACAATTTTAAGGCTTCATTTCTCCAAGGGTATTAAAGTTTTTAATATTAAATATTTACTGAAGATTATTTATTGATCAGATATTGTATTGCAATAATAAAAATTTTACTACCTTATACAGAGTGTCCAAAAATTTATATTAAATAATTACTAGCTTTAAACGGCAATAACTTGTTTAATTTAAGTGGAACACTCTGTATAGCTTACGTGAATCATATTTATGCACAATTTAATTGTCTATCAAAATTTATTATACCATTTTTTACCTATCTCATAATACCGGGTGTTCTATAAGAAAAAATATATATTTGATGTGGATCTTAGTTCTGACACACCCTGTACATTTCAAAATAATTTTAAATTAGGCACATTGCCTTCCCACATATACCCATAAAATATTTTGTTTCTACATCTTTCCGTTTTCGTATAATTAAACGAGGCGAATAAGTTGTGCCACCCTGTATATAGTCACTTTGATATTTGCCGACGTTTCGTACAGAAAATTCCATCACCAGAATATTTTATGCAAAAAAAAATAAAAAATAAAAATGCAATACGGCATTTTATTGAGCATCAAGTTGCGCAACTTTGCCTTCATTTAACCGATCCTGTATCTCTTACGGTTTCCGAAATCCCAATGATGAGCATCGAATTCGAGCCACCCTGTACAGTTTTTTGTCTAAATTCTTTTTTAAGATCCTCCGCGAACAAAGTTTAAAACAGTATTATTATAAAGATTTTTTTTTAATTTGCTACTTTAATACTAAAATAAATAATGAATACAATTAAATTAAAATCATTAAATTGTAGCAACAACTAAAGCTTTTCATAGCTTTGTCGACACAATCCCTTTCAGCCCGTTGTAAAGTAATTCGGTCGAGTCGCGTGTCGCAAAAGAAAATGGAAATAAAAATAGAAAAAGGGATTTTCCTAAAGTAGGTCGAGCCTAAAGCTTAAATCAACGATTGCGAATAAAGCAAAACTTCAATCGTGAATCAATGATAAAACGAAATAAACGTCCGTCGTTGATTCCAATGGTAATTTGGAAGAGCATTAAATGAAAACTAAATAAAGGAATCTAAAAGCAACTTAAGCACCTATCCTAAACAGATGCATTTTCAAAAAAAAAATTTAGTAAAACTTTTTTCTTTTTAAATGATAATGTTTCAAAATAATTTTCTAAGTCCGTCCTGTATACCGTTGCTTATAAACTGTAATAAAAATATATCTATTTAATGAGATGTGGACGTGGAATGGAGTGTCTACTTAAGATCCAGCCAATAGCCCCCCATAACACCAGATTTGACTTCTCTTTGGTCAACCATATCGCCAGAAGATTTGACAAGAATAAAATCTTTTCCTTTGCTGGGCGGACCAAGTGTGTGGCAGGCTAAGCCTTTGGCAGACCAAGCTTGTCACAAGCCAAACCCGCAGACTTGATCCGTCTGATTAGATTGGTCTAAAAAACGAACGAAGGATAAAGTCGACGGACTTTCTTTCTAAGCGGTAGTTTTTATTCCTATAAACATTTATCTGTACCAGGTACGTTTCAAAAGTGGCTCATCCCTATACCTAACTTTTTTATTTTTTTCAGATAAAAAACGAAATTTGGTACTAACATACCAAATTTCGTTTTTTTATGTATATAAAATGCCCGTGTTTATCTGTGGTCGTCTCTACTGAAGTAACGACTTGTTCTAGAAAGTTGCTTTTTTTACTAAAAGATAGCTAATTGGCTCTTCTAAAAACTGTCGTGGCCGGATTTTTTATTTTTCATTTAATTAAAAAAAGAATGAAAAGTATTTTTTTCCTGATGTGGCGTATGCGCCAGGCTTCAAGTAGTATGACATAAATTAGGATTGATTGATGTAAGGTTTGTTCTGACAGCGTGTTCCCAACATGTTTGTGACATGATTGTGTGACTTCTTCCAAACCCGTGTTAATGCGCAGGTCTCAAATAATGCAGTTTCTGATCGATTTCAAACTGTCTGTGAGAACAGCGAATCCCCTACTCTTCTTTTTTGATCTAATAATACTAATTTTAACTGCTGCGTAATACCGAATAAAGAAGAAAACGAACAGGGAATTAACCAAAGACATGTTTTAATGTTTTTGGTTTTGTTCTTTTTAATGTTTTAATGTTTTGTAATATTGATTCTTGGACCTGGCCCGTTCCTCCATCAGCTATTCTAGGTCTGTGTCTGTATCCGAAAATTCGGACGCCTCAGATTCTTCGGAAGATTCAAAATCGCTCATTTCTTTTCTTTATTTTTTGAAGAAAAAAACACTAAACAAAAACAACACACGTTTTGTAGGTTCAGTTTACCAAGTAATGACGTTGGGTCGCAATACGCATGCGCCGGACACTTTACTTGCAAAAGATCCGCAAACAGGTCTGACTGTCAGCTAACAATCAGAATTTTCTGTGTGAACAGCGTACTGTTGGTTGGAAACCAATCAAAAATTTCTGTGCGAACGCGTTTTACCCTATTGCGCATGGTTATCTGGTGGAAATATGTTTCTTACAACTGTGAGAACAAACCTGTATTCAATTCTTTTCGGTTACTTCCTATTTCACCGGAAATTACTACAACTTTTGATTTTTAAATGGCACCATAGGTATTTTTTTACATTATTCGATAGAAAAGTTAATACCCTGAATAGAATGACATATCATATGTCAATTTTTGACATTCTTGCATTAAAAAAATCGTATTTTAAACTTCAATCTAGTTAAAAACACTAATTTTTAATCAAGGGGTTTTGGCAAAATAGGTTTGACTGTCTAATGTTTTTAGTGTCTTGTCCTGGCCGGTTAAAAGATGCCCAAATCGTATTTTTAATCATATCTCATTTTTTTAAATGGAACGAGGGTGGCTCATTAGCATATTTGGAAAAAGCATTTTTTTACGAATAATTTGGTAGCACACACTTGGTATTTCAAGTCATATTGTCCTGATGAACCGCATGTTACAATTTCAAATCAGCCATACGCGAAAATGTCAAAAGTTGGCATATATGTCATTCTATTCAGTGTCATTTTCTATCGAATAAAGTAAAAAAATACCGACGGTATTATTTAAATCTCAAAAGTTGTCTGAAAAAGTCATTTCCGATGAAACAGGAAGTGACCGAAGAATTGAATACGTCAATCAATCTTAATTTATGTCATATACTAACATATCAAATCTCGTTTTTTGAGACGCACCCGCTATAATATAAACTGCTATAAAACGTCGAATTTTCTCCCAAACGAGAATATTTAATCGGGCAAAGATCTAATCGGCAGGCCAAATCCGCAGGACAAATCTTCTGGAGTATGGGGGGCTAATGAGTTTTGATTTTTCATATAAAACAAGCTTTAATAAAAATGCTTTTTTTTAATTCATCAAAGACTATGGGTGGTAGTGGTAACTGTATATTTAAAAAATATAATTTGAGTTGTAATTGAATTCCGCGTATGCGCTTCGCAAAAACTAATCCTAAATAAGTTGATTTCAGCACGATATGGGGCTTTATATCGATTTAATCTGCATTTAATATTACCAGTAGTCCTGGAATAGGCCGGGTTTTCTTATCCGATAAATTTGAAATTTAATATGAGTTTTTCAGATATTGGATGCGCTCGGAATGTAAATTAATTTAGTGGAGGTCGTACAAAAATAATACATGGTAATAAAATGCATTTAAAGCATGAACATATAATTTATAATAATTAAAGTTTAATAGAAGTATAATATTATGTATAAAAACATTAATTAATTCCATAAATAGAGTAAATGTGGACATTATTTTTCTAAACAGTAGCAATTTTTAAAAAAGTAAGATAATTTTACTAATTTCTACGAATTTAATTGTCTGTTCCCAATTATTTTGGTCAAAATAGAAGATAATATATTATACTGTGTGTTTCATTTAAAATAAAAGAGTAATTTGCTGTTAAAGGTGACAAATGTTCAATATGAATTTTGTCTCACCCTGTATAACTTTTTGGGCCAAGTTTTAATTTGATTTAAAGTACACTTTTTATTTTAACTACATATTGGGCTATACCGGATAGATTCTAATTTAGGTAGCTTTTATTGAAATTTAAAAATTGTTCTTCATTTTTAGAAAATGTTAAAAACCTTATATTTTAGTCACATACTTCAAGTAATGAAACTCTCTTTTATTTTCCTCCTAGATTCAGAAAATCAATTAATATATATACAGGGTGTTTCATTACAAAAAACACAACTTTGATGTGTAACTTTTTTTGGGAACACCCTGTAGAACTCTCTATATTTTTAAAAAATGCTCTAAATTACATATGTTCACAAAATTTCATTTCAATACAAACTGTCGTTCTCCTTGGAGCCTCCGGTCGTATGAGAAGCGCCACCCTTTATAGTATTTATGTATAGTTTGATATAGAAGTAAAGTATACCAATCATTACATTTACAAAAATTAAAATAGAACCACGAAGCATTAATGCATTTGCAATTTATACAAAAGGCAAAACAAATGCTTTCCGAAAAAAAAAAAAATTTTTAATGTTTTTTGATTTTTCAGGGAATTGATTACCAATTTTTTCAAAACTTAAAATAATAGATTACTAAAGTGAACATTATTCGATTAAAGACTGTTTGAAAAAAGACTGATGAACTGTTGTTAGTGTGTAAAAGTTAGTGTTTCCGCCGTACGTCGTAGTGCTAAATGCGTATTGATGGTGTTGAGTGTAGCTAGTTTGAGCCCTTTGGCCAGTTTCGGATTTCAGAAGGGCGACAACAATGAAATCGGAGTTTCTCTCGTCACTTATACGGTAAGTTGAAGGGATTGGCGTGATTGTAGGGTTAGGGTTTGGTCGACAGGTGATAGTGATTTGTTTGAAGTAGATTGATTTGTGCAAAATTTATGAAATATAATGAAATGCTATTTCTGCATCTAATATGATGTCTTTTATTCGATCTTATGCTATTTATGTACGTCTTAATTTTATTTAATTAAATACTACAGACGTAAAATGTTCGTATTTGGGCTTAACAATTTTAAATGGAAAGGTACTATATACAATATACGTCCGAAATCGGTAATTCACATAAGTACTTACTCTACATAGAAGGTAAAAAAATGTAGAAAATTTTTATGCGTGTTTCGCTGAAAGGAAAAACAGGTCTGAAGAAATTTTCTTTTACTTTGTAGGTATATCGTGTCTAATAATTTAAAGTAAGGAGTGAGTATAACAATCATATAACAATATACAGGGTCCGGCAATAGTGCGTCGGTCATCTGTAGCTCCTGAATAAAAAAAAAATTGAGAATTTAGTTTAAGTGCTAACCTAACGTATGTACCAGAATGTATTTCAGGAGAATATTTAACTTCTACAGGGTGGCTCAAAGAAGTGTGAGTGGATCTGGATGATATTTTGGAACACCCTGTATATTATTGCATTTTTGGCTTCCCTTCAGATCACTTTACATAATCCTAAGATATGAGTAAATATGTTTCGATAATTTCAGAGGTATTTATAAATAAATAAAAAAATATATTTTTCAGCCTTTCTTAAAAAAAACTATTAAAAATACAATAACTATCCTGAGATCAAAATTATATTAGGTGTTTACTTTAGATAGTCTATACTTACTTTGCTATAAATATCGTAATCTTAAATCATACAGGGTCTTAAAAATTATAAGCCAAACTTTTTAAAATATAAAATAATTTTTTTTTTAATGGAACACCCTGTATTTTATTTTTTATTAGATGGAGAGTTAAAAAATGAGCATTTTTGTGTTTAAAGTACCTATTATTTCATATAGGTATATGGGCTCTTTCAACGGTAAAATACTAGAGAGAAATCATTGGGTGGCTTTGATAAAAATTTACTGTGGAAAATGCCATATGAAATTTAAAACCACGACGAAATACTCTAAAGACAAAAAGTGTTCATTTTTTAATTCTCCATCCATTGAAAAAATAATATTCAAGGTGCTCCATTTAAAAAAAACGAAGCAAAATTATTTTATATTTTAAAAAGTTTGGCGTATAATTTTTAAGACCCTGTATGATTTAAGATTACGATATTTACAGCAAAGTAAGTATAGACTATCTAAAGTAAACACCTAATATAATTTTGATCTCAGGATAGTTATTGTATTTTTAATAGTTTTTTTAAGAAAGGCTGAAAAATATATTTTTTTTATTTATTTAATAATATCTCTAAAACTATTAAAATATATTTACTCATATTTTACGATTATGTAAAGTTATCTGAAAGGAAGCCAAAAATGCAATAATATACAGGGTGTTCCATTTTAAAAAAAATTATCCCGATCCACTCACACTTTTTTGAGCCACCCTATAGAAGTTAAAATATTTTCCTGAAATACATCCTAGTACATACCTACTTAAGGTTTGCACTTAAACAAAATTCTCAGGGTTTTTATTCTAGGAGCTACAGATGCCCGACTCACTATTGCCGGACCCTGTATATATTTATAGTGGGATTTTTTTTAATAGAAAACGTGGTGCCGCGTAATTCAATTTCCGTAGTTTTATCTGATTTAATTTTCTCTCTGTCTTTTATAAATAATAAACTCTCGATTGTGTTTTTATTCTAGATAGTTACTAAAGTTCAATTCAAGATAGTTACTAAAGTTACTAAAGTCTTCATTTCCAAGCCAACTCTGACGCCGTTCTTTATTTAATGATAAAATATAATGTTATATTAAATTGTCATTTATTTATTTTGTTGTTAAATTACTGTTTTATATCAGTTTGGAATTCATGCAATTTATTAGTTTACTTATTAAATTATACATTGGAACTTTTTAGTGCCTGATTTAAAGAAATATATCTAAATATAAAAGATAATATAAAAGAATATCTATGGAGGGATAGAAGCAAACTGTAATTAGCCTCAATTAAACAATATGTTTAAAAAAATTATACTATGTGACATAGAACTTTAGAGAAAGTAGATTTTGTTCTAAATATCCATTAATGAAAACTATTACTTATGTATTTTTATAATAGCAAAGAAAAAGTTTTTAATGTTTTTTTGTTTTATTACTGGTCGCAGCTGTGTTTCCTAATAACATTGACTCAAATGCTGGTCGTCAGTGCGTTTGAGCCTTTAGATGTAAGTTCATTTTCCTTAAAATTAATAAACAACAAGGACCAAAAAGAACTAATTATGTGGTTTAAAAGCTTGTCTTTTAACAACTAGAAAATTACATTTTCTTTAAAGACGGTGGCGAGTTTTCCAGTCTAGCTTAAAATTTAATATTTTAGTTTTAAAGGTTAAAAGTTGCAGGGATCGTTTTACCGGCTTTTATTTTAAGATTATATATTGTCACGGAACTTTGTGGTAGCTTTATTTAGTTGACTTTTACAGGAAAATCACTGTTAATACGAAGAGTTTAAGTAACAAAATTTACCAACTGAAAGATTCGAAAGGCCACCTAGTCTCGACCACAGATTCAATGCTGACGGTGATTGAAAAGTTCTATACAACACTATACAGCAAGCAAATAACAACGATCAGCGAACCCACTAGACTCCCAGTCATTAATGTTAACTCCGAGGAAATTCCTGAAATAGACGTAGAAGAAATAAGGAAAGCCCTGTCCCAAATGAAAAATAACAGAACACCGGGAGAAGACAGAGTAACAACCGAAATGTTCAGAACTGGTGGACAACTTCTACTGCAGAAGATGACGGAAATTTTTAATAGATGCATTATGGAACAAAGAATACCAGAGCTATGGCAAAACGCAACAATCACTCTTATTCACAAAAAGAGTGATAACACCAGACTCGACAATTATCGTCCCATCAGCCTGCTCTCGCACTTCTACAAAATATTCACAAAGGTGCTGACAAATCGCCTGTCAAACAAATTCGACTTCTATCAACCACCGGAACAGGCAGGGTTTAGAAGTGGATATAGTACTGTGGATCACCTTCAGGCAGTCCGCACTCTCATAGAGAAAAGCACTGATTACAACTTCCCTATATATGTCGCCTTTGTGGATTATGAGAAGGTTTTCGACTCTATAGAGCTACACGCCATCCTCGATGCCCTGCAAAATGCCAGAATAGACTACATATACTCGGGCATAATATCATCTATTTACAAATCAGCTACAATGACTATCAAACTGGATGACATAAATATCACAAATAAAATTAAAATGGAAAGAGGAGTCCGATAGGGAGATACTATTTCCCCCAAACTTTTTACACTGGCCCTGGAGGACGCATTTAAGAAGCTGAACTGGGACAAGAAGGGTATTAAGGTAGATAGTGGGATGCTTAATCACTTGCGCTTCGCTGATGATGTCGTTGTCCTGGCCTCATCGTTGGAAGAACTTCAAACAATGCTCGAACAACTTCACCACACATCTGCGCAAGTAGGTTTAAAAATGAATTTGTCTAAAACTAAAATCCTAAATGAAAATGAAGAGCAAGTTAATGTTAATGGACAAAGGATTGAGAACGTTAAAGAGTATATAGGTATATCTAGGTCATGCCATAAAACTCGGCAAGGAAAATCAAACAACCGAAATTTCTAGAAGGATCAAACTCGGATGGGCAGCTTATGGTAAACTTAACTTTATATTCAAAAGCAAAATCCCAAATAGCCTAAAAAGAGACATTTACAACAAATGCGTCTTGCCTGTCATGACCTATGGTTTGGAGACTATGACGATGACGGCACGAAGTGTGAACAGGTTGCGAGTGAGCCAAAGAGTATGGAAAGAGCCATGATGGGTATCAGTCTTCGCGACCACATTAGAAATGAAGACATTCGCCGACAGACGAGGATAACGGACATCGTAGAGAGGATAGCTAACTCTAAATGGTCTTGGGCAGGACACTTGGCCAGACAGTCCGAGGAAAGATGGGCAAAAAGACTTCTTTGCTGGAGGCCACGCCTAGCAAAACGCCCAGTCGGCCGACCTCCTAAAAGATGGACTGATGATATCCAAACCGTAGCCGGTAAGAACTGGATGAGGAGAGCACAGAATCGAAACGAGTGGAAGAAACTGAGAGAGGCCTACATTCTGCAGTGGATGAGTAATGGCTGAGAAGAAGTAAATGAATGATGTATAATATAGGATATTAAATCTAATAATCTAATAGAATGTGTTTTAATCAAAATTCAATTCATTGATTTTATTAATACTGATGATGTTAATCAGCACTAGTAAGCTCCAGTGAATGCTAGCATCTAGGAAAAGTTTGTTTCAAAATTAGGTATTGAATGGTATTGAACTTTTCTGGCGTAGTGTTGTAGATTATACCGGAGGGGAGGAAGTTAATCACCGCGACCTTATAGTTCTGTTTTGTCCCCCTTACTTGAGTTGTAACTCATCATACAATCTCAGGGCTTTGACAAGGCTATATCTGAGACGGTTTTACAGAGTTAGTTCTCCATCTCCGATATCAGTCGTACCAAAGTTTATGACACGAATGGTTGTCGTCCCGGCGCATTCAGTGATGAAATATTATGGCGTTTCCCCTTTTTCCCCACTGAATCTGTATTCGCCGTTGTTTCTTAGCTTCAATCTACTGAGGTGTTCATTGAGGAGCAGTGTTGCCAACTTAAGGTACATTCAGGCTGAGAGCGTCGCGTCGCCTCCGGTCGTTCAGGCTGGGAGCGTCAGCGCAGCGTCATATGAGCTTGTTCTTTAGGTTTTCAGTTTGTAACATGGCTTCAAGGAAAGCAGTTTGTCTAATGTTACTATTGAAAACACCATATTTTACATTCAAAAGAATGGACAAAAAAGTAGGAATTTACCCTATAAACAGAAGGC